TCTCAAATACCATAGATCTAATATCTCCTCAAAATCACATACACATAATTCAAAATTCATATTTAATCACATAATAACATATAGTACGAGGAAATCATTTTGGATCGGCAAAGAAACTTACCTTAAGTCCGGTGCTCCTAATTCTCCTCCTTTATTCCAGTCTCTAAATAATCACCCTTTTTAATTAAGATGACATAATTAGTCCTTACTCTATTAATCATTCTATCTAATTCCCGCATGTGTATTTTATTCGAACTTTTAGATTATTTATAAATCATTGATTAATTACTTCTATTAGTCCTTCCACTTTACTTCTCAATCCTTCTTTTTATTAGTTACTATTTCAATTCGTCCTTCACTTCAATTACTATATCCGAATATTTAATCATGATAACATAACCAAATAATATAACTATTTTAGTTTGTAAACGCCATTGATTTAATCTACTTATAAAACATCCAAATTATGAATTATATTTTAATATTATTAAAATATACGGATTATAAAAAAAATATTTCAATTACTTCAATTATAGTTTATTACAAATTTTATCGTACTTGATAACTATTAATTAATCTAATTTAAATTAGTTCAGTAATTAACATAATTACCGTCCATTATTTTTAATCTCGTCTAAATGAAATAATTAACCAACTCAGATCATTACATTCTTTTAATTTTGGGCTCATTAACGTGTCCACTATGTAATAGTAGTACGAAGTATTACTTACATAAAAACAACGCAGGGTTGTCTTCTTCATAAATTTCCCCGGACCGGCGAAACGCAGTAGTCACACCGAGCTCCAGCGTTCAGGTTTTCCATCTCCTTTCTGCGGCGGCGACTCGGTCATCCAACGATGAAATCCGGCGTCCAGGAGTGCTCGGCAGTCAGTCCAGGCTTCGAGAGTCTTGCTTCTCCCGGCGTGGAGAACCAGTCCGGTGATCTCCGGCGTCATTGGTTTTCCCTCTACGTTCCGGCATCGGTAACCGTGTTAATACTCGAGGTGGTAACAGTGGCTTCTCTTTTATTTTCTTTCTTCTTGCTCGCAAGGGATACGTTGGCCGTTAAGGATGGTGTATAAATATGTAGTGCTCGTATAATTTTGAGTGAAAGGTTATGGGTTAACAGTATGCAAGGTTGGGTCTTTGCCTCTTTGGCATCAGTCAATTAATTTCGACATAGAACGTATATGGTTACATACCATATACATAGAACGTATATGGTTAACAAGACATACGCATATGCCTTGTTAGTGGCTTGGTTGATGGTTACATAGAACGTATGTATGTATGTATGATTGAGTATATTATTGCTAGCTATTATGATAGCTTATCTACATTATTGGTATCTATATTATTGTTATTGCGGGCCTATTATGTGTACATTGTATTACGGAATATACTCCGTATTATTATTGGGTGCATGTATGATGAGGACCGAGGGAAACACTTGCATGTGGAGGACAAGGACATGGATGCATGCACATGTATGATGTATGTGGCATATGACTTTCACGTGGGAGTGAATGGGAAGGTCACACATAAGTTATCTTGTTCATCTGAATATGTGGTAATAATGTACTCCGTACATATTATTATTGTTAGTTTTAAAGAGTCAACTTTGTTATTTGTGTACAAATATTTATTAACCGATATCTTTCCATTAAAATTGTTAAAATATCATTTTTATTATTTATATCATATGTATAGTTATCGCCTCTTACAAAAATGTCACTTTTGTTATTTGAGTCAAGGTCTTATTTAGTCAACATAATTATTATAAAAATGTCACTTTTATTATTGAAACATTTTTATATGATTAAATGTCACCGATGTTAAAATTTAACTTCATTCATTTAATTATTAAAATGTCACTTTAGTAACATTTTATCTGACTGATAAAATTTATATTTTTTTTAGCATTCATTTAAATTTTCGGTGTGTCACAATGAGATATTTAATGGAGTGGCTCTCTGTTATCATGTGTGAATTCATAAATGATGAAGAAATTGCACTTATAGTCGATGGGGTAGTGGTGCAGTCATCAAGACATATTACCTTCAATGTCTCTTTTGTAGAAACATTGTATTTTTTAAGAGATAAAGATGTATCTAAATATACTAAATACACTAAAGTAAATATGAGAGATGCTAAAATCATTCATTCCGGTGAATCACTTGGGAGGGCTCTACATGGTATTAAAATAAATAACACCATTTTATGAAATTCCAACACTGTAGACTGGCTTCATGAAACGACCTTTTATTATTTCCACCTAATAATGAACTTTCACTATTTCAACATGGGGCTAATGGCCTAATGCGTCAAGAACAATGCTTTTTATTCTTTTTCTATAATCTGTTGCTTTTCTTCGTGAAATTTGATATTAAAATAAAGTAATGGTAGAGGACTTAAACAATACTATCTGAATTTAATTTGGACTCTAATATATTTTTGTTATAGTGATATCATATTATTTCATATATCTAGCCAGTTTTCATGTTTTTTTCTGAAAATGTTCTCATAGCAAGCTCAACAATCTGTGTGTGATTGGATAAAAAATGTGAATGATTTTAGTCTTAAAAAATGTGAACACTTTTTCTTGGTACTTAAAAAATGTTGTTTAGTCTTATAGATATTTGCTTCTAATAATGTTAACACAGATGTTTTTCATTTCTTCACCAATCAGGGATGCTATTGATCCTCAAAGACAATGGAGTCGAACACAGAAGCTAGCAGCACATTCATTAGCCTCAGCCCCTCAGAAAGGTGAGGCTTAACTAATATATGACTCCCTTTAAGAAATGATTTTTATCAACGAGGTAACCCTATGCTTAATGTTTCAATCAAATGAAGTGAACAAAGAAAACAAAATTAGGCTTGAAGGTTTTGTAGCTACAGATGTTCATTTGATGACAAATCAAAATTCTGTTTTCAAATTCAGGCTGGAATCATATCTAATATGTGATGACAAGGTTCATAATGCCCTTGGTGAAGCCAGAAAGGAACTCTTTGGCTTGCAGTAGTGCTTATCTTGTGTTCGACTACAGAGAGCTACTTGATATGCTTACGTTCATAATTCACTTTTTACTATGGTGGAATGGAGCAACTTGGATATCCTTACGCTCATATTCAACTTCCTTGAAGCTAACGCTTCTTGGGGTCATTGAGCGAGCTACTCAACATTCAGTTGGTTTTGAAGGTTTCCTCGACTGATGGCCCCGTAAAGATGAGAGCATCCCTTCCGGTATCGGTGATGGATATAATCACATATTGAATTTATTGATGAAGTGTCTGCGGCATGATGTTGATTTGCTGTCAACTTATACACTTCATCGTACGTGCTTCTATGAGGTAGCTTCCTAATATGAGGTTCATGCTTCTAATTTCTTTTAATTATGTTTAGTCTGAATCGCTATTTTGAGTCTCACTCTCTTTGGTTATTTCTCTTTACCACTCTCCCTAAAACAACAGCATGCAGTTTTATTTATACTCTATACTGGAAGGTCACTTTTGAGTGGAAAGTTTAATTCAGAGTATAAGTGTTCATGCTTGCCAATGCTAAACTCCAACTAAAAGGGCGTGTTGGTTGAAAATTTTAAAAGGGTGTGTTGGGTTATTAGAGTTTATACGGTAGCATATATTGTTGATTAAATAATTTGTTGTGATATAAAAAAACAAAGGTGAGTTCTTTTTTAAGGAAATCTCTTCACCATAATCTAATAGTTTTCAAAAGGAATTACATATTGAAATCTTATATATATTTCAAAATAAACTTACCCGACCGTCTGTTTTCAGTCCACTTCGAGTAACGCCCCCCCCCCCCCCCCTCCAAAAAAAAACTAATGATGCATTTTTTACTTATTTCTGTTTAGTGGATTGTTCATATGCTCATATTTCCTATGCTCATATATATAATAACATTCTGTGTATTTCCCTTTTTTAAGCAATCTTTTAGCTTATTGCTCTGTAGCCGGACAATACAAGTATACAACTACTCTTTTTTATATCATTTTGTGGTGAATAACTCAAAGTGTGAACCTATTTATCCGTCTATATGATAGCGGTGTTTACTACTTTAGCCGATTCCAATGTGTGCAGGATTCTCTTTAAAAACGCTTCATATTATTTGAAACTAATATTTGATTCTCATGATCTCTCATTGATGTTTTCACCTAATTTTAGTTCAACTGAAAGCATACCATATTTAACATCAATAGTAATTAGATCGAACTAAGAGCATACTTCACTCATGAAAATCAAGCATAAAGTTTATTTAATATTAATGCCTCGATCCCTTCTTTTAAATCAATCATTCAATAGGGATTGTATCTTCATCCTCCTAGATTGTATAGTGAGAAGAATTTTTAGTGTTTTCAAGGTACAATTTGCATGTCAGTACTTTTACATATTTCTAAGTTAGTACTTCTACATATGTTTTTACTTTCTGCCAGATTTTGCAATCAAAGCTATAGAGATACTATGCCTCCGAGCTTTAAAGATCCATTAAAAAGGGTAATCAATGGTGCAAGCTTTAACTTTCATTGTATGTGTAATCTATGTATACATTTTAGTGATTTTACTTGATGCTCGTGTGCAAAGTTTCAAATGGCTTAAGCGAGCCTAAAGTCATTACTTCGGTAGATTATACATACTTTGTAGATTACGCAAAGTAGCTGCTTTCAAGATGACGGAAGCACTCAACAGAGGTAATATTTTAATGTTGTGTTTAGTCTTTGATTTGATTCCATTGACATTCTCTTCCATTTTTATACTTTTCATGCTTCTTTTTTTATTTTTCATTTATTTTTCCCTTTATGAATCACAAACCTAATAAATTGCTTACCTTCATATTTCATGGCAATACTAATCTTAGTCAATACTAATCTCAGCCTTACTCTTGTTTCCAAATTCCAACCAGTCAACACTTTGAATCAGAAGAAACAGATACGTGAATTCTACGTCTCCCCGACCCATTCCCCGCCAAATTCAGATTTTTGAGATGACGGATGAGGAATCCGCCGCTCAACTCGACCTATCTCCGCCAAATTCATATTCTGCGGTTGTCATAGGCGGTACTTTTGATCGCTTACACGACGGCCACCGCGTCTTTCTCAAGGTTCCCTGATTCCTCACATTCGTTTTTTTTTTCTGCACTTCTTGCATAAACCTCTCTTTATAATTCTTCACAAAATTCTCCTTTGTTAATTTTCAATTGGATATTGAATATGATGTGTCCTATAGGCTGCAGCAGTGTTGTCCCTAGAGCGAATCGTAGTTGGTGTTTGCGATGGCCTGATGTTGACAAAGAAGAAGGTAATATTTTCTAAACCCACTTTCATAAGTATGAATTAATGACTATTGCTTTTCCATATACGGTAAATGTTAGGGAGTGGGGAGGTTCGACAAAATTCTCAGCTTTATGTTTCTTTTATCCATTTGTTTGGCGCATACTCATGCTGTTATATTTTCATGACTTCTTAGACTCTATTAGAATGTATCAACGGCTTGTTAGAAAAATTACCTATATATCAAAGTTTCTGCTTCTGCCCTAGTTTCTATATGTTTCTCTTCCCCTTAAACTTTTTAAAATTGTGTAGATATTTGGATAGGGAAACACACATTTCGGCATTTGAAAGGTGATCCCTTTATTCTAAAATGGATAAGCGAGTGAAATCTTGCACATATATTATTTTTCAACTCTTGGGATTGATGGGATATTATTTATTTATTTTGGGAAGTAGGAGTAAAAGGCGCTTAAAGAGAGATTTTTTTAAAAAAACATAGTATGGTTCTTTATACTGATGCTCAGTTGTAATTTACTGTTGAAATGAGGCACTAAGTAAATGATATTTATTTCCCAGCATTGTTTAATATGGAGTATAAAAGATTGCCTCTGTATAGATAACGGTAGTGTTTTGACTTCTTCTATCACTGTATTTGAGATGTATCAGTGCAAGACATGTGTAACTGCTTTCTTTGTGCAGTATGCCGATCTAATAGAGCCAATTAAACAAAGAATGCAAAATGTTGAGGACTACATTAAGGTACTTTTACTCCCATAGTTACCATACATTTATACAAGGGAATTTATGGATATGCCAATATGAAGTTTAGCCTTTTGGCATTTAAAATGATGTTGCAATGTCACTTCATCTTCATGGTCAATTAGAAACTGTTTTATGGTTTGTGGTATCTTTCTTTGTTCCTTCATACATTTTTTGTCTAGAGCATCAAGCCTGAGCTGGTTGTACAAGCCGAACCAATTGTTGATCCTTATGGTCCTTCAATCATTGATGAGAATTTGGAGGCTATTGTAGTCAGGTTCTTTGATAAATTCTTTTCTTTTTTCTACTTCATTTATTTACCTAATGAAATTTGAACCTAGTATTCACAGTTTACATACTCCGTATATCAATATATGGTCAATTACATGTTTATCGTTTGATGAGTTTAGCCATTTTTTTAATCCCTAAAACATATTTGCTGGAATCAACAGTTATCTTTACATGCTCTACTTATAAAGTGCATTTATTTCACATAACCCACAAACTACTTTTCAGTCCTGCATAAAAACATTTCTTCCAGAGTAGCAGAGCTATTATCATCACTATTCTCTTCATTGCAGGGTTCAATCAATTCACACAATTACAGATACATTTCTCTGTGTTATTCTAGCAATCTCAAGTATCAACAGAAGTTAAAGACCAATATTTTTCTGATTTTGTTTATGGCAAAAATTCTTAAAAACTTTTGTACAAAGAGATAAGCATATGATAGTGGTTTGTGGCCTTTAGTTATGACCCATTTTTATGTATGATTGATAATGTGCTTTAGTTTTTTTATAATAATCCGAACTCTGAGTGATCCCAACTATATATTATTTTAAATTAACCCCACCAATAAGGTCATTCTTCCCTAAACACTCCATATGGCTGGTAACCTGTGTCATTTTATAAAAAACTAATGTTAAGCTTATGAATTAAATTTATACAGTGCATGAATTCTAAAAGTTTACTTTCCAAAGACTGCATAAAAAATTGACATTTTTTGTCGGTATAGATATCATATATATCTATCAATATATTAATTAAAGTAAAAGCTGGTATATCTTTCCATTTCGATTTTTTAAATCTTGGTTGGGAAGGAGGGAAAACAACTTCTATATCAAAAGGGACGAAAAATGAATTATTTGCCTCTAATTAGCGTATACAATAGGTTAATACAAGTCATCAGAATATTTTGTAAACAAGATTGTTTTGAAATAATTGATTGTACTACCCCCGTCCCACTAACATTGGGACATGAGGAGGTGGTGCGCTTATTAATAAAAGTGAGTTTATGTGGTTGATATTGAATTGTTAAAGTAAGAATGACTTAGAACCACACAAATTTTACCAAATATGATATGGGACAATCTTAGTGGGATGAACCCAAATGGAAAGATGAGACAATCTTACTGGGACGGAGGGAGTATTATTTAAATCAGAGAGGTCATAGTTGGGATTATCATCATCCTATAGGATTGTTAGTAAGTTTGATTTTTAAAAGAAGTTTTGTATGCAGTTTCTGGTTTACGCAGTTGTGCCTCCAACCGCCTAGACCTAGCCTCCAAATGCAAAGCACTTCAAGGCTTAAAAGTGTCTTCTAAACATTGTTTTTGGTTGAGGTGCAAGTTTTATATTATGGCAAGGTAAAACTCACAGGTGTCATAGAAACGTTGGAACATAGAGATGCCAGGACAAACATACCTTTTGAAAGTTGGAACATATTTTTCTGTGGGTGCGGGAGGGGGTGGGAAGAGGAAGTAATCTTCCTCTGTGGCTCCTAATTTACTTAGTCATGCACGAACGCAATTCATTAAAATGTGGCTATGGGTGTTTTTGTGATCAACAAAGAGACACTATCGGGTGGTTTTGCTGTCAATAAGAAGAGGACTGAGAGAGGTCTCTTACAACTTAAGGTCTGATCTATGGCTTACTCTTTATATATAGAGACATCATTATATCATTTGTCATTTAGTTTTCATTTATCTTTTATTTTAAAGTCTTTCTGTTAAGGGCCTTGGTAGTTGGTACAAGATCTAGTCCAATGTCGATGATTCCGAGAAGAACAAGAAAAATATGAATCTATGGCGCCTGAAATATTAATCGACTCCTGCCTTCGGCAAGGAGTTGCCGCAGGCTCCACCGTGCACCAAATAAAATTAATATTTAATATTCCAAAGCTAACCTTACTATTCTAACTGATAAGCCTTAAATAGGCAAAAGACAAATTTATTAAAACAATAATAGGAAAGAAGTAATAAAGAGCGCCCTTAAACTAATACTACGTATAAGAAAACCTGAATAAATAAACTGGTATTAGACTCGAAGTAGCAAACTGGTTTAATTAATTAAAATAGACTCAAAGTAAGAAATTGATTTAATTAAATAAAATATTTAGGAACTCAAGCTGGTCCCTTCTTTGACCGCCTATGATAGACTCTGCCCAATCGACCCATATTATCACTCCCTCCATGGACACGAACTTGTCCTCGAGATCGAAATTGGGAAAATTCTCACGGAAGGAATCCAGTTTTTTCTATGTAGCCTCTTCCAGTAGCTGACCTGCCCAGTGGACAAGGATTTCCCAGCTACCCTGATATGAACGAGCCTTCAAAATGGACAGAGGGTGGAGTGGGGTTGGTGGGTTGTTCAATTCTGGTAAGGCTCCCATTGCCGAAAGCGTGTCTCCGACTCTCCCCTGTGCGACGTCATGAATTTTGCTTGTTGGAGGAAGTATTAGATGATAGGCAGTTTGTCCAATAGCTTCGTTTATTTGAAAGGACCCGAAAAACTTGGGTGAAAGCTTGTGAGTCTACCTGATGAGTGACAATTGGCGATGTAAATGAATTCGGAGTTAAACTCTCAATCACCCCAATCACCTGGGGTGATTGACAAGTCCCAGTGGCCCTTATCGTATTGAAGTTTCATGCGTTGCTGAGCTTGGAGCAGCCTGGTCTTGGTTATGGCGAGGATGGAGTGGCTGTCAATGAGTGCTTGGTCAACTGCGTCAAGCTTTGCAGTGCCAGGTGTGTAAGAAAGTAGCTTGAGCGAGTCATAACCATACACTAACTTGAAATAAGTATAACTTAAATATGCATGGAAAGATGTGTTATAGCAATACTCCGTCCATGAAAGCCAACAAACCCAATCTTGGAGACAGTAATCTGTTTGAGGGTGGTAGGCTGAAGAAAATTGAAGTCGGGATCCACACAGACAGAATAACTCACGCTAGACGGAACTCACGAAAACTTTACCCCGGTCGGAGACAATAGATTCTGGAAGGTCATGGAGGCGAAAAATTTCAGAGAAGAAGACTGTTGCCCCTGTAACAGCCGTAAACGAATGTGATAGTGCAATGAAATGAGCTGTCTTAGACAATCGATCCACAACCACAAAAACAAATGATTTCCCGCGAACCTTGTGCAATCCCTCGATGAAGCCCATGGATATATCTGCCCAACGTGATGAGGAATGAACAGGGGCTGCAATAAATCTGCAGACAGAAGGTTCAGCCATTTGTGTTGTTGAGACACTTGGCAATCCCGTACATGGTCACTGATGGTCTTTTTCATGCCAGGCCAACAAAATCTTGACGCACCCTCTGTAACGTCTTAGCACTACCTTCATGGGCATGGAGTGGAACAAATTAACTATAGTTGGAACTGCGGTAAAAGATGGCAATAAGTATACTTATTATGGGAAAAACAACACCCCCGCTCAATATGCCCACTTGTTCCCAAGGCACCTTCATTAAGCTGGCGTTGAACAAGCTTGGGTCACTTGTACCATCATACGTAGGGAAATCGAGTTTGGAATAGCGGGGCACAATGTTATTCTCGATATGGACTCGATGGTCTTCCTGAAACTCCCTATTCTCACCCTAGGATCCAGAAGGGTTGTTGCTGTTGGAGTCGGTGTGTGAACCTGCAGATTTACTAGTCAGCCAGCAAGCTGTGTGGATGTAGATGTCACAGATCTATAATTTTTGCCTCAAGCGATCCTTGGCACTGGTTAATTACTGCCATGAGCCCATGAAGGTTTGGAGTGTCTCTGTGGTGATATGATCATTCCCCATTGTCCTGGATACTGACACCAAATTGTTAAGGGTCCTTGTACAGGATCTAGTCCAAGGATGATGATTCTCAGAAGAATGAGAAAAAATATGAATCTATGGCGCCTGAAATATTAATTGACTCCCGCCCTCAGCAAGGAGTTGTCACGCCAAATAAAAATTAATATTACTCCCTCCGTCCCAAAATTAACTTCCCGTTCGATTTACGATGCTTGACTGACGATAAAGCAACTCGATCCCTGCTCACACTCGGATTATTTTTAGTAAATATAATTTACATATTCAGAAACTACATTAAAACCGCTACAAAGCCTGATCAATAAAATTTAAATTTGATAAAAATTTGATATAAAAAGTAAAAGATTACGAGTGATTCAAGTTGACCAATGAATAGTGAATGGGAAGTTGTTTTTGGGACCGGAGGGAGTACAAAGCTGATCTTATTATTATTATTATTCCAACTGATAAGCCTTAAATAGGCAAAAGATAAGTTTCCTAAAACAATAATAGGAAAGAAGTAATAAAGAAGCTCTTAAACTAGTATAAGGCAACTTGAATAAATAAACTGGTATTAGACCCAAATTGGGAAACTTATTTAATTAATTAAAATAGACTCAAAGTAGGAAACTGATTTAATTAATTAAAATATTGAGGACCACTCAAGCTGGTCCATTCTTTGACCACCTCTGGTAGATTCTGCCAAACCAAACCATATCATTTCTTTAGAGTTTATTGTGCAGATTGAAGTTGTGGATATACTCTTTGAAGAATCAAGTGCAGACAAACTAAGTTCTTCTGCTTTGAGAGAGTTAGAAGCCAAGAAGCTCAGGTTAACTCATACAGACTGATAGATATAAAGTTCTGTTGCTCTTAAGGTGAATTATGTGTTATCACTTATCAGACATTGTGTTGCCTTCTCGAATATAGTGGTGGAATGGATAGTTATGCTTGTTATTTCATTTCAAATTATTTCAAATTATAAATTGGCAAGTAGACTTCTTTTACATTTTTTCTCAGTCCATGTTTCTCTTTACATATAAGACAAGGTTTTTAATGTGGGTATTTCTACGTCCAAAAGATCGTCAAGAGATGATGCTTAAATCTTACTTCTACACTTGCCAATGTGGGATGTTCACACACCCCTCAACTGAATTTGAAGTGGACAACTAAATAGGTGGACATATTGGTCCAAAACATCAAAGGGACAGGCGGCGCAAAAACCGCCCACTGACCAAATTTTGATATCAAGATAAATTGGGTATAAGTAAAATGTTAAAGCATGGTATTATGGTAATATTGTAATAGATATCCTTTGACTTAGATTGAGACACTGCTTATATCGGAAAGTAACAGGCCCTAACTCTCCAAGTAAGGTTTCTACTACCATAGTTTAACTCATTAATTATATTCTATCAAGGTTTACCTCACACCTATATACTAGTACTAGACTAAAACCCAGCCACCCAGGTAATCAATACAGATACTCCACAGTAACCAAGCTAGAAATGTCAAATGAAAAGATGAAAACAATTGCCTTTTCATTTTTGGACTTTTATTACATTTGCAAGTTAATTACAATTTAAATACATTGTTTTTTCACAACGTTACTTAACTGCATACACACATAATAACCTTTTCTATATTTGTCTAAAATTTGGAGGATCTTCAACCTCAAGAATCAAGATGCCTCATGTGATTTTTTTTATGATGAGACATTAATAAGCTGTCAATGTTTTAGCATTAGCCCTCATATATATTTTTTTCAAAGAAGGGATCCTTCTTTTGTTGACCAAAGCTAGACCCAATTTAAGACTCGATTGAGTCTTAACTTTTTTTTTTATTTTATAACCCGGTAGGTAAACCACCAAAATTAGTGTGATAAATGTCGGGGAACATTTACCGGAACAAAACATTTTTTAATTTTCTTCGGTAGTACTCATACTGTTTTAAAGCATAAGTTCTAATTATTTCTATGGATGAGCTTAATTATACGCATAGTACATTAGTATGCAGCTACCTTTTTTTTATATTTTATTTTAAATGGTTGATTTACTATAACAGAACAACTTCTTAGAAACATTGTGTTTCATTCAACAATAAATTGACATCTACAATTACAAATATCATGTACAAATGTCCCTGTGAAACAAATTTTAAGTATTTACTTAAAATTGATCGCAAATAATAATATATGAAAATATCAGGTACAATCTCTAAATATGAATCATCTGATTCTTCACTTGCAATTTGATATGAATATAATTAAAGAATTTAATTAAAAATTAAATCTCTAATTCTTCAAATATTTGAATGTTCTTCGGATCTTCGAATCTTCGTTCTTGAGATCTTCGAATCTTCGAACCTTCGTTCTTCGGATCTTCAAATCTTCTTGAATAAAGAATTCAGCTTGAAGGGCCTCCGGTTTCAAGTGGCTTGATCTTCAACAAAAGGGCCGTTTTATGGCTTGATCTTCTGTTTAAGGGCCTCCCGGGATATATGGCTTGATCTTCAGTTGAACCTTGATTCAATTTTCATATGAATATCTTCAAATCTTCAAAGATTCGTTCTTCATATCTTCGAATTTTCAAAGCTTCGTTCTTCAGATCTTCGAATCTTCAAGCTTCGTTCTTCAGATCTTCGAACGTTCTTCAACTTTTTGCTTTGTTTGATCAAGAATAAATGAAATCACAAAGGATTAATCATATATTCTTGACAAAAAACGTGGCTTGATATCTTCCGATGCTTCGGAATCCTTCAGAGCCTTTCGGGAGTTCTTCAGAGCTTTTCTGCAGCGTTTCTTCGTCTGGAAGTTCTCCTCCCTCCTTGTGCTGTAGAAACGGTTTAAGAACTCGCGTTCCATATCTTGTCAGCTGTCAATGGAACCGGGCTCCAAATCAGTATACCAGTCAAAGGTATTTGCTTTCAAAGAACGCACAAACTGTTTGACAAGGTGATCTCCGCTCGTTCCCGCATTATTGCAAGTTTCCACGAAATGGGCAACATGTTGCCTTGGATTTTCCTTCCCATCAAATTGGATGAACTTCGGTGGCTGGTAACCAATGGGCATCTTTAGATCCTCGATCCTTTGAGTATATGGCTTAACACAGGAGTAAGTAGATTTGCTTCCTTCCATCTTCCCCTTTATGGTTCCCATGATGAAGTCTTTAAGTTGATCAATTGGGATCATGCTCCCAGAAGTTGAGATATCCTTCCCTGAATCCTCTTGGTGAGGATCATTCTCTTCGTTCACTTCGGGATCCTTCTCATGAGTATGACTTGACTCGCCTTTCAAGCTTTCTACTTTGTTGTTCAGATCACTCAACTTTTGGTCTTGAACTTGCATGAACATACTCATCCCTTCGATGACTTTAGTTAGATGGGCGATCTATTCTTCCATAGACGTGGTGCTCGTTGTCATGGTGGGCATCATAGTATAGACATTTGACCACTGCGAAGTAGTCCTTCGTGTAGGAGTTGAAGGGGGAGTAGAGTCTGATCCAGATGATGAGCTCTCACCACCGCTTGTCCACTTCGGGGAAGTAACTTCACGTATGGGTGAAGAAAACTTCCGGGCTATCTCTTGCGCAATTCGAGATCCATCCATTGCATCGGGAGTAGTTCCCGAGGATGACTGCGCAGCCAGGATTCTTGATCGGCTCCTAGTAATAGGGCCTTGCATGTTTTGATTTGAGCTTGATGATGCTCTAGAATTCAAAGTGAACACGGGCTTGCTTGATGCCATTGGTTCGTTTTCCTTGATCAAAAGTGAAGAGATGAGAGGTAGAGTTGTCCCACCAGGCGTGCCAAAAATTTGTGAAACAAATTTTAAGTATTTACTTAAAATTGATCGCAAATAATAATATATGAGAATATCGGGTACAATTTCTAAATATGAATCCTCTGATTCTTCACTTTCAATTTGAAGTAATATAATTAAAAATTAAATCTCTAATTCTTCAAATATTTGAACGTTCTTCGGATCTTCGAATCTCCGTTTTTGAGATCTTCGAATCTTCGAACCTTCGTTCTTCGGATCTTCAAATCTTCTTGAATAAAGAATTCAGCTTGAAGGGCCTCCGGTTTCAAGTGGCTTGATCTTCAACAAAAGGGCCGTTTTATGGCTTGATCTTCTGTTTAAGGGCCTCCCGGGATATATGGCTTGATCTTCAGTTGAACCTTGATTCAATTTTCATATGAATATCTTCAAATCTTCAAAGATTCGTTCTTCATATCTTCGAATATTCAAAGCTTCGTTCTTTAGATCTTCGAATCTTCAAGCTTCGTTCTTCAGATCTTCGAACGTTCTTCAACTTTTTGCTTTGTTTGATCAAGAATAGATGAAATCACAAAGGATTATTCATATATTCTTGAAAAAAGCGTGGCTTGATATCTTGCGATGCTTCGGAATCCTTTAGAGCCTTTCGGGAGTTCTTCAGAGCTTTGTTGCAGCGTTTCTTCCTCTCAACTGAGACCCCTATTTATAGGTGTGGAGAGGGTGAAAATATGGCCTAGGGTTGCTGGAGTTCGTTCATACCTCATGGGCCATAATTAAAATGGGCTTTGGGCTCCATTTACTTGCATTTTAATAGCAAGAAAAATCAACACTTATCTAATGTATTTGGACAGCTCTTTTAACAAGGTTCGGAGCTATTTCTCATGCATATGGACACATTTCTTAACCAGATTCGTCTTCTTTATCAACTGGATCATGCCTCTCATTCATTGGACCACTATTTCATACTCCGTATTGGGCTCGAAAGAGAGAAATCAATAGGATCGGTCCATTTTGTCAAAGACTCAACTTATAATTAAATTAATTGGATATTTTGAATGATCCAAATTAATTAAATTAATAAATTTTATCCCAAAAGATCCATATCACTATTTTCTTCTTGATAAGGCCCAACAACCATCACGAGCAGCCCACTAAAATTGACGCTGGCTAGATATCATTCAAAAGAGGCCCACTAATCATCTCAACTGATCCAATAATTTTTATATGTCCACAGTCCCGTTCCTTTCTATCATTTGCAATGGACTCAAAGATTTATTATTTTTTTATTCGATAAAATGATGGAATAAAGCAAAACGACTCACTAAAATGTCTATGTTTCTTTACTATGAAACAATCATTAGTCCATGCGATTTTCAACGCGCTTTTTCACCTTGATTCATTCGAAAACAGTCTCTCTATGGTTTAGTACAGAGGTAAGACTGCATATATCCGACCTCCTTATTCCACCGCAGATGAGAGGGATAATGACGATGACTTACAAATGTCATGTTCCAAAAATTAATTTTTGGTGCAAGTTGTAGCACCGCCCATTATCTAATTCAGAATTCATGACTAGCCAGCCATTCATTTGCAGAAATTAAACAGGAAAATGGCGAACATGGTCTCCAATATGTCCGATCTGATCCAGCGCATTACAGCACCTTGCCTGCTCCACCCGCCCGTCACTGCCGCCGATCGCGATAACGGAGATTCCGACGAAGACAAGTACAACAACTCCAACTCCGGCGCGGAAATCACTCACAGCGAAGACGACGAAGAAGGAGAAGATTCCGAAATCCCGGAAAGCAATAAAGAGGATCTCAGAGCTGAAAGGGTCCTAGAAATGGAAATGATGTTGGCGGAAGTGTTCGAAGCGGTGGTGAACATGAAGAAGGCGTACGTTAACCTGCAGGAAGCGCACATTCCTTGGGATCCGGATAAGATGCGCGTGGCTGACGTGGCCGTGGTGGCAGAGCTCCGGAGGCTGGGTATCTTGAAGGAAAGGTATAGGCGGAGTGTCGGCGCTGATGGCGGCGGAAGAGGGAGGCGGATTGTTGGGGCGGCGACGCTGAGGGAAGTGGTGGCGCCGTACGAGGCGGTGGCGGATGATTTGAGAAGAGAAATGAAGTGTAAAGAAGCGGAGATAGAGAACTTGAAAGAGAAGCTCAAAACGACGGCGTCGTTGACTCATTGCAACGGGAAGAAATTAAAGTCAAAGCAAAAAGTAAGCTGCAGCACTCAAGTGAAAGGTACAAAACTTTCTAGTACCTTTTTTTTGGTTGGTAATTATACCAACCAAATTATACATTTTTTTTTCAAAAGAAGTCAAATTACACTATTGTATACCAAATTCTAGACTTCTAGTCACTAGCCTATGATTGAAACATACATCTAAAGCTTTTTTTTTATTATGATGAATTAATTATGCACCTTACACTCTTGTACGGAATGATTAAACGGAAATTATCCTAAATATGACTAATGAGTTCTTAAAAAGCACAAATAGGACTATTACTTTTTAAATTCCCTAAATAGGACTAAACATTAATTTTCTGCCCTAAATACCCCTAAGAGTATTAATTCATAATAAAATGCTTTAATTCATAATAAAATCTTAAAAAACGTAAAAAATATTTAAAAAAACGTATAAAAATTATAAAAAATTATAAAACATTTATAAAATAAAAAATTTAATTTTTTATTATTTTTATTTTTTTTAAAAAAATAATAAAAAATAGTAAAAACCCATAAAAATGAAAAAATATATGGATACCTTTCCCACCGCCTCCCAGCACCACCAACTCCGATTGGTGAAATTTCTTCCACTTTTGGTAAAAAAATGTCATCTTTTTTCTGAAAATGCCAAAAGGATGGCATAATTACTCTTCAATATGCCAACATTTCATTGAATATGCCATCATTATGGCATTATTTAAAATGTTGACATATTTTTCTCCAGAGATGGGAGCCGGTGTTGCTGGGGTGGCAGGGGTGGTAATGTTTTTTGTTAATTTTACTATTTTTTAAAAAAAAATATTTTTTTTTTAATTTTTTTAAAAATATTTTTATTAATTTTCTATTATTTTTTATGATTTTATTATTAATTAAAATATTTCACAAGTTACAAGAGTATATTTGTCCAAAAACATATAAATAGTCCTATTAAGGGAATTTAAAAAATGTAGTCCTATTTGTGCAATTTTGCCACTTTTTAGTCCTATTTAGGGAATTGACTCATGATTAATTTTTTTTTTGTATTTCATACTTCCTCCGTCCTGTTAGAAGGTTCTCACTTTCCTTTTTTGGACGTCTCATTAGAAGGTTCTGATTTCCATTTTAGGAAACAATTAACAATCTTAAGTGACAGATTAGTCATTAAATATTAAAAATAATACATTTATAACATCACAGTTATCAATACTAACACATTGTAATATATACCTATTAAAATTATTTCTCAAAATATACTCGAAGTACTTTATTTAATTATGACCTAAATAACGGTGCCGTTTTGCTATGAGAACCTTCTAGCGGGACGAAGGTAGTATTTTTTAGCTAATCAGCAATCAAAATTTTCATCAAACAAGCAATTTTTATATTTGGAATGTTAAATTGTGTTATTGTAATTATTTACGAGTAAGTTAATTTGGGTGTTTTGTTTTTGGTTGATTTGATCGAAGTTACTTTAAAGATTATTTTAACTATCTTTCCTCTATTTTACTGTAAAATATATACTTATAATTTAAATATAATTTTTTGTCATTCAGATGCTTCGACTATAACTTCACCAATTTCAACATATTTCAACTTCAATATTATCAAATTGGCCCTAAATTTAATTGTGCTTTAAATATTTTTTTATAATTTAGGTATATTTAACAACTTTAATGTTTAATCATAAAAACAAGCCAAGTAATTTCCAAAATATGAAATCTAGTGTTTTTAATTGAAAATAGCTTTAGGGAGATTTCCCTAAATAGAACTAAATAAAATCAAAATTGCAACAATATGATCTTTAAGTTTAATTTGAAAGGTTAGAATAGGAAGGGAGATTAATCCTTCCTATTCTACCCTTTCCCTTGTCATTCTTGATAGAATTTTTTTAAATAATAATAATAAAACATAAAAAAATAAAAACCTAAAAAATACTCCCTCCGTCTCATTGGACTTTGCCAATTTTCCTTTTTTACTTGTCCCAAAAAACTTTGTCATTTTTCTATTAAAGCAACTAATTTGTGGTTTTACACATTTCTCTCTCCTCTGCACAAATCTCAACCACATGTGGAGAATTTTCTCTGTGGAACTATGCCTCGCATAGAACGTCGAACTTGAGTACCTTCGGCTTCGTCTACAGATGAAGGATCCCCCTACTAAGGAATATCATCATTGTGATCATCATGAGCATCTAATGAACCATCACTCTCTTGGTCAGCAGTATCATGGATCTCCTCATCATTGAGAGGAATATGTGATGATACAGATCACGTATTTTGTGGTTTATTAATTGTCTCATTAGTAATGTCTTATTTCAGACGATTCTTGCATGATACATGCTACCAAGCTTCTCCCATAGTATGTAGGCACTCTGTTCTTCAGCAATGTGGTGGAACACAATATGATCGATCCACTGTCAAATTTGTGCGACAGTTTTTCGATTCATCTTAGTCCATTCTTCATCCGTCTTTTTATCCGGTTTGGCTTCATTATTATCAAGAAGTGATGGAGTATATGGTCCAGGGACCCCCTGTCCACAGACTCCCACTTCTCCTACACAGGCCCAAATGAGCCCAATGAGCACACAAGGTCCGAACACAACGGCCCAAGCTTAAAGAAACCCACGGTGCACACATGGGTGCCTTCGGCCTCCTTGGCCGAGGGCTCCAAATCTCACATGACAGCCATATTTGAGCATACAAAGCTACAGCGAGAAAACTGCAGAAATCAGGACCGATACAGTAATGTCCATGACCCAAACCTTCTTTTTAATTCGTGTCCTTTCTAACATGTCCATGACTTCAAAACCGATACAGTAATATGACTATTTTACATAGAAATAATCATTAGGTTGAAAGCGTATATCTAATAATGGAATAACCACACATAATTCTTGTTCAAATTCATAAACATTTTATCCAGTTTTCTGAATACTTCATCTTTATTCATTTATTTTAGCCGTTACTCTTAGGACTAGACTCTAGCTAGGGATACAAAGATCATCATATAACTGGGGTTCGTGGGACCCTGGCCGGGGTCGTATGCTAGCATACCGTATTACCGTGGGAGAACGAATCGTCCAGCCGAAACTGAAACAACCCGAACTCAACGTGGGAGAATGAATCGTCCAGCCGAAACTGAAACAACCCAAACTCAGCGTGGGAGAATGAATCGTCTAGCCGAAACTGAAACAACCCAAACTCAGCGTGGGAGAATGAATCGTCCAGCCGAAACTGAAACAACCCAAACTCTGCGTGGGAGTAGTAGTCAGTATAACCAACTCGTACTCGATTCGTGGGGAAACAAAATTATCCAAGTAAAACTTGAATATTCTGCCTCCAAAACTTTAAACGTGGGTATCCAATCACTAGCTTCCAAATTCTAGAGTATTAAGGCTCTTTCGTAAAATGTTTTATATATACATACAGTATTGGAAAATATAACATTCGTATATGGTCATGTTTTATGCTCTTCCAGCATACCTGATTCGCATTTCATATTAAATTGATTTTCTCATCGAACTGAATTATATACCTATTTACGTTACATGAGTTTTAATTTATACTCCTTAGAGCATCTTCAATGGTATAATGTGCACGGTGCACATGTGGCATGAGAGATAGCCACATAAATATTAGTAAATAATTTCTTTCTCTCCTTATTTTAATGATTTTATACAGATTTAGTAAGTTTTTCTCCACAATGTCAAGGAGACCGTCTAAATGTAGACATTGCAGGGAAGAACTTACCAAAATTGTATCAAATCATTCAAATAAGGAGAGAGATAATTTATTTGCTAATATTTATGTGGCTATCACTCATGCCACATGTGCACCGTGCACATTTTTGCATTGGAGATGCTCTTATATATGTATATGTATAAAGGCACTGTTGTAAGTTTATATACTAAAAAAAACTATAAACCAAAATAGACATGCATACCATGTGTATAGTATGACACGAAATTTCATGTGTATTCCTATAATAAATCTCATATGACAACTGGCCGTATAAATACATAGGTTAAACTAGAATTGTAGTCCTTGTGGGAATACTACCTGAACACGTAAACCTAAATTTACAATATAATAAGGTGACGACTCCGATACCCTTTTAAAAATTGGGGTACCGTACCTACCATTCATTTGATTGGATCACATCAATTTATCATTTTTAATTTAGATTTAAATAATTCAACTGCAATATTATCATTAGTCCATGTGGACAAAGGTATGGTACCTTATGGGTACCATAGAAATGAAATTCTTAATTGACACATCCATAATAACAGAAATATTTAGTTGAATATGTCTTCAATTCGTACTTATTGACATTCTGGCCATTACAGTATATCAGTGTTAGTATAGCTAGTAGTATTAATTTACGTCGGTGTACATTATATTAGCCGGATGTATAATTAAACACTAAATTCCAGTTAAAATCAAGAAAATATCCCATCTCAACTAAGATATAAATAAATACTCCCTCCATCCCGAAAAGGTTTGTCAAATTTCTTTTTTTGGATGTTCCAAAAAGATTTGTCATTTCCATTTAAAGTAAGGAATATGTGACTAAAGTTAATTCTCTCTCCTCTGCACAAATTTCAACCACACAGTTTTGATTTTATTAATCCACGTGAAAGTCAAAGTTGGCGAACCTTTTCGGGACGAAAGGAGTAGTTTAGATATGAAAAATACATGTTTACATATACTATTTTAACTTTTACACATTTCATACATTCATTATGATGAAGTTAGCTAATAAGAAATGTTTGTATTTGTTATATTTTGTACTCTACCTTTATAAAAAGATGTTTGGTGATAAGAATAGCAAATTGTATTAACATTAATTTCAATTAAACTAGAGTACACTATACATTTCACATGATTCATTTTAATAAAATTGTGAATTTTACAACATTTTTTATCATCGACTCATTTAAATTCTTTGAATTTTTTATTTTTTATGTGATATTAAAAGTGTTACTCAACTATAAATTTATTTCTTGTAAGAGGCAAATTATTTTCTAGTGGTTGAAAAGTTGTTAGACGGTTTCAAGTCATCAGTGTTAGTAATATAAATTATGTGTTAATCTATAATATTTTAGTATTTCTTTTTCTATATTTTATTTACCTTCACATTTTATTTAAATAATAAATACAAGAAAATGAGATGGACTAAAAAAAATATGAGATGGACTACTATTTTCATTTTCTAATTCTAAAATATAGAACTTGATTAAATCAAATAATAAACATATGTAACCGAATCAAATCGAACTAAATTGAATCTAATAAATTTCACTTTGATAAACTGAACTTGAAACTAAACCGAACCGAAACAATACCGAAACACAAATAATGTTAGTTTGGTAAAATATCTCACAAACTGAATAAATCGAGATTGAACCTAAACCAATTAAAATTAAACTGTAAACCGAATTGCCCGCTCCTAATTTACACAATTGCACTTGCATACAGTACATATATTATCAGTATACTAACAGACTAAAAGTTATGATGGTTGGTTATGGCAGTGGCACTGCCGCCGGCGCCGGCACTATTCGAGAACACGGTGAGTTTGGTAAAAAGAGCTACAAAATCGTTCACGACGTTACTTCTCTCGCTGATGCGATCCGCACACTGGGACATAACCGCGGCCGTGAGATCCATCGAAGCCGCCTCATCTCCCGGCGCAACCACATCCACGGCGGACTCGATCATCGGAACAAACCACGCAAAGTACGCATTGGAGTCGTACGTGAACCGGAAAATGTTCCAAGGGTTCGACCACGAGACATTCTACATGGATGGCAGCCTCTCCTCCCTCCTCAACCCGGACCAGTACCGGCGGGAGTGTTTCACTCAGTACCGGGACATGAAGGCCATGGATCCAGCCGAGCTGCTGGGGATACTCCCGAATTGCGGCTTCGGGAACTTCTGCTTCAAAAAATATCTGGCGATGATCCACCCCAAAACGGAGGAGTCTCTGTTCGGAGATCTGGAGCAGAGGCGGCAGGTTCTGGCGGGAAACCACCCGCGGAGCCAGTTCTACGGGGAGTTTTTGGAGCTTGCGAAGGCGGTTTGGCTGCTGCATCTATTGGCGTTTTCTCTGGAACCGCCTCCGCCGAGCCAGTTCGAGGCGAGTAAGGGATCGGAGTTTCATCCGCAGTTCATGGAAAGCGTGGTGAAGCATTCCTCTGGAGGGAGATTACTAAATGTGGGGTTAGTTGTTGGGTTTCCGGTGAGTCCTGGGTTTAAGCTTGCAAATGGGTCTGTTGTGAAGGCTAGAGTTTATCTGGTTCCCAGGTGAGGCTAATGAGGAAGAGTTTTTTCTTAAATGTGTCAAATGCCCTTATGCCCATAATTAATCAGACACATAACACTGTGAATCAATAATTTCAGTAATTTGTTTTTTATGCATCCTCTTTCACGTTCTTTCTTATGACTCCTCTTGTTTTTGGGGTTTGGTCATAGATATTACTAATTAAAAGGATTTTGACAAATCTAGAACCTCTTTTAGCAAATGCCAAAAATGAGACCAACGTGTAATCACATAGCTAATTCCCAAGATTAAATTATCAAAATGCCCCTACTCCACTAATGAATACTCCGTAGTCCGTACGTTGTCAATCATATAGACATTCAAGTTTTTCAAAATGTTGCAATCATTTCCAAGATAAAAAATTTGTACTCGTATGATTTTTATATCTTCGTAATTACGATTATCCGATGATTTACTGTTATTTACCCATCCACTTACAATTACACATCCAACTATTTACAATTACTCGTCCAATTACAGTTACCCAACTCCACCAGTTATCTGATCCGATCCGTTACGTGACCAATTACAGTTACTGGATCCGACCAGTTACAATTATCCACCCGACCGGTTACAGTTACTCGATCCGACCGATTACAATTACCCGATCCAACCAGTTACAATTACCCGCCCGACCAGTTACAGTTACCCAATCTAACCAATTACAGTTATCCGATCCGACCAGTTACAATTGCCCGTCCGACCAGTTAGAGTTACACGTTCAACCAGTTACAGTTACTCGTTTCAACCATTTACCGTTACTCAGTACAAACATTTAAAATAACCCAACCCGATCAATTACAGTTATTCCATCCAATCAATTACAATTATTTAACCCGATCGATTACGGTTAACTGAACCGTCCAATTACCGTTACCCGCAGACAAATTACAGTGACCGCCACTAGCCGCCGTAAACAGCCAGCTGCCGCCGTACCCAACTGCCAGTAAGCCCCACCCACCCACCCCACCCCACCCCAAGTGGCCAGCCTCAGCCTGTCTCTAGCCCCAACCCCAACACGGCTCCAGCCTCCCCAACCACCTGCCACCGCCATACATCGCCGGACACCACCGCACCCGTCCCTACGCCGCCCCTGCCCAACTCACTCCCCCACCTTGCACAATCGTGGCCCCGCCTCATCCCGACCCCTGTAACCGCTGCATCCCACTTCTGTACCCGCCCCCAGATCCAACACCGACCAGACGAACTCTAGCCGCCATCCGCATTCGATCAACTCATAGGTCGAACCCTAGCCATTCTCCGTAATTGCCCCGCACCCTACCCCAAATCCCTGTCCCAAACCACCGTGCGATCTGAAATTGACAACACGGTTCATCATCGATCTAGAGCTCGTGGGTGGAGAAAGGGTAGAAAAAGAAGTAGAATCAGTTGCTGTTGCAGATCCGAAGCTCATCATCAAAGATGCCGTCTAATCAAGAGTAAAGGAACCACGTCTTTTCCGATGGTGATGTGCGATGACACGGTTGCAGAGTTTCGGCGGTGAAGAGGCTGCGGCCGTGCAGGGGCTCCAATGATCCATGGTTGTAGCTTTGGAGAGAGGCCGGCTATGGTACCTGGAGAGAAGCGAACGGCTGCTAAGGAATGGGAGAATGGGCTAATGGATACCTGGAGAGAAGCGGACCGTTTCAACGGGAGGGATAGGGGCCTATGAGTCCGATGCTTAATTACTCGGTCTCTTTTTTGTCAATTTAAATTCTAGTCCTACTTTTGTCCACTCAAAAGTCCATGGTATCATCTTTGTCATTATTTCCTTGTTTTTCTAACCTTTTGCATTGCCTTTGATCTTAACCACCAATATCTAAAAGAGGTCAAACAAATAGACCATGATTTTAATTAGTGTAATACGTAATAGTTATATATTCTACTTTTATAATATTTTCATATCATTTTTATACTATAAATTAAATAACTTTCTATAAAAACATATAATTGGCCAAAGTTGAACTTGGTTGATAAAAAAAATCAAAGATGCAAAGTTTTAAGAGACGGTGGGATTATAAATTAGGGAAAAGGAGAAAATAAGGCCACGTACTAACCAAAAAAGGTCAAATAAGGTCTTATTTATGAGACTCTGTCCGGCCTTCGCCATTTGGGATGGTTTTCGGTGAAATTTTTTGATGAAATTTTTTGAGCATCTTATTCATTAAGTCTAGTTTACTCATACCAAATTTCAGCTAACAATTCAATCGGGAAGGCATTCAAATGAATTCTTGAAGATAATTGTGCTTTTAACTGCGCAATTATCTTCAAGAATTCATTTGAATGTCTTCCCGATTGAAGTTTTAGCTAAAATTTTCTATGAGTAAACTAGACTTACTGAATAAGATGCTCAAAAAATTTCATCAAAAAATTCCACCGGTAACCACCCCAAATGGTGACGGCCGGACAGATCCTCTTAAATGAGACCTTATTTGACCTTTTTGGTTAGTACGTGGCCTTATTTGTCCCTTTTCTCTATAAATTATAATACTCAAAGACAGTAATAACACTACTTGAAGTTGTCTACAAAAAACAAATAGAATAATTTCGGAGGGGCATGATAACAAATTGTTCAACATATCTACCAGTGTACATAAACTATGGATGAAAGCAATGAAACAAAGGTGACAACTCTGGTACCTTTCTAAAATATGGGGTATCGTACCTACCATTCATTTGATTGGACCACATCACTTTATCATTTTTAATTTAGATTTAAATAATTCAACTACTACATTCTCATTGGTCCATGTGGACAAATGTATGGTACCTTATGGGTACCATAGAATTTACCTGAAACAAACATAGTGAAAAGAGAAAATTGTCCGACTAAAACTCAACCTTTTTCTCAAAATAGGACCACATGCATGTTTTTCCCTAAATAGGACTAAACTTACCTTTTTTACCCCTAATTCTATTTAATTAATTAATTGATCTAAATAATAGCCCCCTAGCTTCCTTGCACAACCAAGGTAGTCTGTCGGTGGTGGGGAAGTCCATGGTGGCGGCGGCACTTTGGCAGCCGGTCGGCTAGTTCTCTTGCACAACCAAGGCAGTCCGTTGGTAGCGGGGGCGGTCCGGTGATGGCGGCGGCGGGCGGAAGAAATGTTGCAAGACCTCCAGAAAACAATTCTGGAAATTTTTCCGGCGGCGGTGGCCGGAACTCAGGTGGTCGACGGCAGGCATCAGGCAGCAGTTCTGGGGCAACAGTAGGGGTATTTTGGTCCAATCACACTTAAAAAGTCCTATTTAATGCTAGACCTCATATTGAACTCACTGATTTGGATTGTGTAAAAACTAAAAAGTGAAAAAGTGAAACTAGATGTTGAATGTGTTTGACTTTGGGGGTTTTAAGGCTATTGATTCATTAAAACTTCAAAAAAAACTCTAAATCTATCATGAATTAAATGGCAAAGTTCCCGAAATAGGACTAAAACAGTTTGAAAATTCCAAAATGGGACTGTCGTGTTTTTTATTCCCAAAATAAGAGTAATTACTGCCAAGTTTGGAAAATACTGCCATGTTTGAAGTCTGGTACTGCCAAAACATGACAGTAATTTGTCCTATTTTGGGAATAAAAACATGTCAGTCTTATATTGGAATTTTCAAACCTTTTTAGTCCTATTTCGGGTAATATTTGGTGAGGAAACACCTCACACCTTAAATGAGGTCTTCTTAAGATACCTAAATGTAATGGATGAAATTTTGATGCACAGTGGTGGCAACAAATTCAAATTCAATGGTATATGTTAGGAAGAGAATTTTTTCTTTTTGAGCAAATGAAGAAAAGTAAACCCAAAAATGTCCAAATCATTCAAAAAAAAATTAAAACATACCAAGATTAAATCGATACCATTTCTATGCATAGATATGGTCTAATATAAAAAAATCCAATGTGGTTTCTAGCTAGAATCCTTCCAAGCTTAACTTATCAAGCCTTTTTAAATTTATACTCCCATCTCTCGAGAAAAGAAGTCAATATGGAGCAATAGTCCTTCCTATGGATCATTTACAACTAAGTGCTGCTAATGAGATTCCTAGAAAGGTGGTACTATCCAACGGTCTCTTATACGTTATAGGTAATAAGTACATTTTTTTCAGGAATAAATTAATCCTAAAGTTTCCTAAAATTGAGAATTCACATTTGATTGCCAACAAAATGTGGCTGTTACGATTTTTTTTTGGGCAAATGGCTGTTACGAGTTATGACCACACAGAATGTTTTGGTCGTGTGCTTTTGAGCTATTCTACCTATCTTAAGGCCAAGGAAAAGAAGGCCTAATCATGGATGGGTTTTAGGGGAATCGTCCCTTGAATTTCAAAATTTTATAATATGTATATGGAGGGTTCTACTTGTTAATCTCAACATTTTATTTATTGTCAACATTGGTTATGATTTACATGGAGGCATGTTCATAATCACCCCAATATATATATATATAAAGTGCAGTATATATATAGTGCACATTCTGCGCATATATAAAGTGCAGTAAGTTTCAAGAATTTATTTGACTGCCTTCCCGGTCGAATTTTGAGCTGAAATTTGGTATGGACAAACTAGACTTGATGAGGAACATGCTCAAAAACTTTCATCAAAAAATTCCACCGGGAACCGCCCCAAACAGTGAAGTTCGGACGGTCCCTCCCGTCCCTCCGGAGGGACCTGAGCAGTCCTATATATATATATATATATATATATATATATATATATATATATATAGGGTCTTCCCGGTGGAATTTTTTAATGAAATTTTTTGAGCATGTTCCTCATCAAGTCTAGTTTGTCCATACCAAATTTCAGCTCAAAATTCGATCGGGAAGGTAGTCAAAAAAATCCTGGAAAAATATGGCGCATTCTGCGCACATATAATGTGCAGTATGTTTCCAGGATTTATTTGAGTGCCTTCCCGATCGAATTTTGAGCTGAAATTTGGTATGGACAAACAAGACTTGATGAGGAACATGCTCAAAAAATTTCATCAAAAAATTCCACCGGGAAGACCCTCTGATGGTCTTGTCCGCACGGAGCTTCTCTTCAGGAGCTCCTGATAGGAACGGGACTCTCTCTCTCTCTCTCTCTCTCTCTATATATATATATATATATATATATATATATATAGAGAGAGAGAGAGAGAGAGAGAGAGAGAGTAATCTTCCGGTCAGGTATACCTGACCGGAGCCGCCGTCCGGCCTCCTCCTTTTGGGGGCCTTCCCGGTGGTATTTTTTGCTCAAATTTTTTGTGTATGTTCCTCATCAAGTCTAGTTCATCCATACCAAATTTCAGCAAAAAATGCAATCGAGAAGGTCGTCAAATGTTTTTTGCAAGTTAACTGATCCGGAATATGTATTTTCCGGACCAGTTAACTTGCAAAAATCATTTGACGACCTTCTCGATTGCATTTTTTGCTGAAATTTGGTATGGATGAACTAGACTTGATGAGGAACATACACAAAAAATTTGAGCAAAAAATACCACCGGGAAGGCCCCCAAAAGGAGGAGGCCGGACGGCGGTTCCTGTCAGGTATACCTGACAGGAACATTTGTGATATATATATATATATACGTGAGAACGTGAGAACCATGCACTTTTAACACATCTTGGTGCACTATGAGGCTCATCTATTGCACTTTTTAAATTTTGATCAAAACGTGCTAATATCAAATAAATGTGGTGGCAGATTTCTAAATATTTTGTCAACATGAAAATGTGCAACATATACATGATATAGTGCATCACATCTGCTTAAAAGTGGAGTTCTCACGTTCTAACGTTAAGCATGGTTCTCATTTGAACATATATATATATATATATATATATATATATATATATACATATATATATATATATATATATATATATATGTATATATATATATATATATATATATATATATATATATATATATATTATAGGGTTAAGATCGGATACAAAGTATGCTTCCCTTACAAAATACAAAATCATCTCACCCGTCCAATATTATAAAATCAATGGTAGGATTTGTTTTAACCACTAATCATCAGACGTATTAATGGGTGGGGGAGATTTTTTAGCTCCTACTAATTAGCCATATTATGAGGGTTTATTTGGGGGGGGGGTATCCATCTACACCGTTATTTCATTCACATGGATGGACAAGATTGATTTGCACTTTGTAAATTAAGATTGGTTTGTATGTGATCCTAAATCATTATATATACAAGAATGATCAGGTCCAAACGTTCGGACAGAACCCTCCGTCCAAACATCCTCTTTTGGGGCCCTTCCCGGTGGAATTTTTTGATGAATTTTTTTTAGCATGTTCTTCATCAAGTCTAGTTTGTCCATACCAAATTTCAGCTCAAAATTCGATCGGGAAGGCATTCAAATCATTTTTTGAAGTTGACTACGTTTTTATATGTATATATTTTGACGCAGTCAACTTCAAAAAATGATTTGAATGCCTTCCCGATCGAATTTTGAGCTGAAATTTGGTATGGACAACTAGACCTGATGAAGAACATGCTCAAAAAATGTCATCAAAAAATTCCACCGGGAAGTGGCCCAAACGTCATGAAAAAATTGTCAATTTAGTCTTCGTACTACCGAAAAAAGACAATTAAAATCATCATACTTACAAATTCAAATCCCCGAACTATGAAATAACGTTCAATTGAGTCAAATATCGGATTTGCCGGATTACATGCCATGTCAGCAAAGTCACTATTGATTGTGCTGGCACATGTGTGTCACATCTGCAGGTGACTTGTTGACGTGGCGGATAACCTGCTAATGGACTCAATTAAACAATTTTTAAACTTCGGGGATTTGATTGATTTCTTTTAAAGTACAAGAACTTAATTTATGTATTCATGATGGTACAAGGACCAAATTGATAATTTTTCCTATTTTCATAAAAATTTCATAATTAGATTTATATTTTTTTGCCCCTTAACGTTTTTTAGTTTTCAAAATCAATATATAGTGTTACATAATATAATACTTGATAGGAGATATAAAAGAAGAAGTGTCTAAAATAATTTATCATTATTTGGATAAATAAACAATACAACAACTTATTGGTTTAAGACTTAGGATACTTATTATATAAAATTTCTTAGTTTTGTAATGTTAAATTATCTTTATTCGATAATTAATACTGGATTTTGTGAAATATCAAACGATATTAAATATCAGACAAACTAGTTAAACAGTTTTTAGATAATGTGAAGTGAATCCAAAATACAAGTGTTGTGTGACATTAAATTATACCATTCACTTACTTTTTACTTTCTAAAAAAAGTATTACACAAATTATAAACTTTAACCTATTTTAGCAGCATTAATACAAATATAATATGCACCATCTATATGATAGAATTAGCAACATGATATAATTCTAAAAATAAATAATCTCATGTGGAGTACATATGATTGTAATATTAAGAAAACTTCTCGTTACTTATGAACACCCTTGATAGACAAAAAGTGTAATTCAAAAATCAATTCTTTATCCGATATGAATTATGCATTTAAACAAGGTGTAAATTATTTAAAAAGTATTGGTGGATGTGTACCTTTTAAACTCTTTATCTTAAAATAGTTTGATCAAATTTTATCTTTGCTTATATGTTTTCCTTTGATTTGTCATTTCTTGCGCTTTAGATTTGTCATTTCTTACGCTTTAGGATATCTTTACTTAGTCTAAAATTTTCTGGCCTAGTATGATTTGGTCTGGTAAGTGTCTGATTTCTTTGTAATTTATAATTGTCCAAATCTGGTCTGATTTGATATGATCTACGACTAAAAACAATCCAAGTAAAACATTCTTAATGTAGCAATATTTTTTTCTAGAACTTCAATTTTAAAATAAAAGTTATTTTTTCCCTTATGTAAAAATAAAAAGTAATAGATTTAAGACTATTGTTGTTATTTTTTATTGAAAGACTCTTGCATTAAGATGGGATTAGTTTAGATCGACTTCAATCGTCTGTGGCCAGGTTTGCCCATTAATGAATCAACGAGTTATATTGCTTGTTCGAAGGTGATCGATTAAATCAAAGTCTAGTTTAAGGGTTGACAATTGTTTGTGGTTCCTTACTTTTTTTAGTCCCATTCCGAATGCTAATGCTTTGATTTCAATATAAGTCCTTCCAAAAAATGTGTTAAAAAGCGATAAACAAAAGAGAAATGATTGACCACCTGAATAATGTATGTGACGAAAAAAATGGGAGAGAATGTATATGAAAACCAAAATACTTGCAATATGTTACAATCGTTGAGACATATGAATAATGAAAAGTGAGTCGAGTAATAAACCAATCATCGCTTTTGCAAATCCAAGTCTTCCAGGGATTTTTCATTCTTGAAATTTGCAACAGCTTGATCAAACGTGCTTCTAACGTGTTGGCACATAACCATTAGATCCTGGCATGAATCTTTCAGCACCTCCAGAGCTGGATCACCTGCAGTTGCAACAAGCAACAGTTCAGAATTCTAACCAGTTTCCATCCAAAATAACTCATGAAAATATAGACCATTTTCCTACTAAGTAGATACATGCATAAGAAATATTGTCTGTTAAAAGAAAACTTCAGAATTATCATTAGAAGGTGAAACTGTTGTTGTATACTTGGATTGACTACTCCTCTTGGTCCATAGGAGTCATTAAATCACATGGCCCATGACCTAATGGCTCAACAGCTACCAATCATACAATTGGACCATCATTGTTGACCAATATAATCTAGTTATTTGACATGTGGGTGTTGATATAAACAAGCAATGAAAAGGCAAACTCAACACTTTTAACATATCTTAGCACAAAAAGAAGCTAAATAAAGGTTACAAGAACTTTCATATCTACTAGCTTGGTTTTAAAAGGTGCAAGGCGACATGAGGCGCTTTTGTTGAGTTTTGCCTAGTCACGAGGAGAAATGAGGGTTTTTTGTTGAATTAAGCCTAGGCGCGAGGCGACATGAGGCATTTTGTTGAATTTAGCCTAGACGCGAGGTGGATGCACGCCTCTCAGAACTTAGCATATAGATTTGCTAAACAATATTTATGCTACTCATACATGATACCCAAAAGTGATGATAACATCATAAAATTACTCTGAATCATTTAACAAGCATATTAAACACCAAAGATTAGAAATTGGAATTAAGGCAAGTGTTTTATTAAGGCGTCTGGTTTTAAGACTCTAAAAGATTAAAAATCAGTTTTAAGAGTTATATCCTAGTTATAATATAAAGGCCTCTAGTTAGTAATTGGAATTATAAAGTTAGTTTCAGTTTACTGGGAATTCAAAACCAGGCATGCAACACATATAGTCATACACACAGATTATAAGGAATGAGAACATGAGCACAGACTGCTCTATATGTGATGGGAGGCTTGGGAGCAATAAGGCAGTTGATTACAGGGAAAATAGTAATAGATTCAGAGAAGTGGGAAAACAGGAAAAGATTAACAGAAGAAGTCCAAGAAGAAAGGAGAGAAAAAACTTGCGTGAAAGAGGGACAAAATGTAAATCTGCAATGCAACTTATGAAGAGAAGGGAAGGGTTTGATTTGTGATGAAGAAATAGAGATGGAGTCGCTATGGACTCTGTGAAGTGGGAAGAACATGCACGCCTCTCAATTAACTCTAATGTAAAGAATACAGAACTCTAGAAAAACTTGTGACACATAATCGTCAAATTGATGACAATCCCAGATAAGCTGTTGCGGTTTTTTACTTGCATCTCTGTGCATTGCGCTCTGTCGCGCCTGATTTGTGCTTTTTAAAACTAAATCTACTAAGATGCAGAAACATAATAAAAATCAGACCAAGAAAAGTCATTTGCTCATTGGAGGAAAAAAAGTTCTGATCTTTACCAGTAGTCTGAACTCTTATATTAACTCGGGCCTCGGATGGATGTGGAATGCTGTAGCCACAAAGTACGATCCTGGGACTGCAAATATAAAACTTGGAATACATGTCAAGAAAATTATAGCAAAACGAGGCCTGTGTATATGTATGTGGCAGTGTGGGTGTGTATGATTATGTTTTTTTGTGTCCTTGGTTCAACTTTTAGAAATAGAACTTATGAGAGACTGTGAGTGATGCTTTGAATAAAAGTTTGTGTGAATAGATATTTTATCAATAAGCCATAAGTCTGTAACGTGATTATTTTAATTAAAATGGAAAAGATGATAATTTTGAACTCAACTTCTTAAGAATCTCATAGCTTTTACGTAGTACTCCCTCCATCCCTAATAAGTTTGCCAAGTTTGACCGGCACGGGGATTAATAAAGTAAAAACTATGTGGTTGAGGTTTGTGCAAAGGAAAGAGAATTAACTGGAACCACAAATTCTTTACTTAAAAGGAAAGTTAATGGGACATCCAAAAAAGGAAAGTTGACAAAATTTTAAAGGACGGAGGTAGTATGTTTTATCAATCGTGTATGTGCATTTCTAAAAAACATATCAAGCATTGCTTGTTAAGAACAAGATATACCCGGCACACCCAAAGTTGTTATTCACTCGACAATAACAGGATTAAGTAATAAGATTATAATCAGAACATTCATCAATGAGCAGAAGTTTCTTTAGAATTCTAAGTCAAGGCTTTAATAATAATAACACTGATAACAACAACATACTCCTGATTAAGAGCGAATCTAAGTGCATTGGAAAGTGTATGATCCTCATCTGTCAGAGAGAATGTTGCATTGGATAGATCGTTGAGTGCACCATGTTCCATTTATCCTATTAGCAAAGGCATGAAGATTAGATTAGACATGAACTTGCAAAGAATAGGATGCAGGATGTAAAGAATAAATGATTACATTAGACATGAACTTGCAAAGGATAGGATGTAGGATGTAAAGAATAACAGTCTGTTTGATTTAGGATAATAAAATATTGAACAACTAGCATATATCTGTTTGAGTGAGACGAGGACCGAATAAAATTACATTTAGGGGGTTCAATACCTGTTTGATTTAAGCGTTGAGTCATATTAGTTAGTTGCTATTGCTCTTAATTAAAGGAAAAATCAGTTTTAATAATAAGGAAAAATAGTTAGTTCCAAGGGCGTAGCAAGGACGGATGTTCAGGGGTCCGACTATAAACTAAAAACACTATATAAAACACCATTAAAATTCATAATAATATTTGTAAACAGTACACACTAAATCACTAACACAAACTAAAATAACAAATAAAATACTTAAATTAAAATCTAAATTGTAAAAAAAAAAATAGAGGAACTACCCTGAATGGAGAGAAGAAGCGAGCAGGAGCGGCAGAGTTGAAGGAGGCGTCAGGGCGTGCGGCCTCCTGAGATGCGAGCAGCGAGCGGTCTGTGGAATCCTGCGCTGCGGGCTGCGGCGTGCGTCTAATTCATCGACCTCTGCTGAGGGTCAGTCAACCCCATCATTTTTTTAGATTAGCTATGGACCAATTTTTTGCACTGGACAGATTTTATTTTGCACTGGGCCTGATTTTATTTTGGACTGGTCCAATTCCAAATTTGTTTAAAAAAGTTTTGGCTTTAAAAAGAGCAGTTTTTAAAGTGATTTTGAAAAAAAAAATTAATAGTAAAAGTTGGTAGCATTTGATAAAATGTGTGTTTTTTGTGTAATGGGAAAAGCAAAAAAACAGATTCTAGCCTTCAACTTTTTTAAATGTTTAATTTAAATAGAAGTTATCACTTCAAAACACCATTTTCAGCTTTTTTAAGCCACAAGCTGAAAATAAGGAGGAGGAGGAGGAGGAGGAGCGATGAGATTTGTATGCTTTAACTATTATTATATACATTGTAGTATCTGTAATAAAATAAAATATTGGATTGTGTGATAAATTCAAAAGTAACATAGAAATAAACAATAATGTATAAAAATAAGCTCTACGTGACACTAAATAATTTGGTAGTATAACTATTAGTGGTTGTCATGAAACTTTATACACAGTAAATAGAATAATCATATATATGTTTTGGCTGAAATCATTTGACGACCTTCCCGATTGAATTTTTGGCTGAAATTTGGTATGGATGAACTAGAATTGATGAGAAACCTACACAAAAAATTTGATCAAAAAATACCACCGGGAAGGCCCCCAAATGGAGGAGGCCGGACGGGGGGAGTGGTCCGGCCTGGCCGGACCTGAATACTCATATATATATATATATATAGAGTGCTCTTCATGTCAGGCCGGCCTGACGGGCTGCCCCGTCCGGCCGAGCCCGTTTGGGTACCTTCCCGGTGGAATTTTTTGATGAAATTTTTTGAGCATGTTCTTCATCAAGTCTAGTTTGTTCATACCAAATTTCAGCTCAAAATTCGATCGGGAAGGTCGTCAAATGATTTTTGCAAGTTAACTGGTCCGGAAAATACATATTCAGGACCAGTTAACTTGCAAAAATCATTTGACGACCTTCCCGATGGAATTTTGAGCTGAAATTTGGTATGGACAAACTAGACTTGATGAGGAACATGCTCAAAAAATTTCATCAAAAAATTCCACCGGGAAGGTGCCCAAACGGGCTCGGCCGGACGGGGCAGCCCGTCAGGCCGGCCTGACATGAACATTCCTCTATATATATATATATATATATATATATATATATATATATATATATATATATATATATGAAATCTTTCCGGTAAGGTATACCTTACCGGAGCCGCCGTGCGGCCTCCACTTTTTGAGGACCTTCCCGGTGGAATTTTTCAATGAAATTTTTTGAGCATGTTCTTCATCAAGCCTAGTACATCCACACCAAATTTCAGCAAAAAATTCAATCGGGAAGGCATCCAAACGATTTTTGGAAGATAACTGCGTTTTATATGTATATAAAAAGTGCAGTTATCTTCCAAAAATCATTTGACTGCCTTCCCGATTGAATTTTTTGCTGAAATTTGGTATGGATGTACTAGACTTGATGAAGAACATGCTCAAAAAATTTCATCGAAAAATTCCACCGGGAAGGCCCTCAAAACGTGGAGGCCTCACGGAGGCTCCGGTAAGGTATACCTTACCGGAAGAGTTCCCTATATATGTGTGTGTGTGTGTGTGTGTGTGTGTGTGTGTGTTGACAATGTTAACAAAAGTTTCATAAATCTTAAAAACTTCTTTAAAGACCATAATATTAGTGGTGTTGATAGTACAACTCTCGTCGTCACATATAAGAATTTGCATCCCACTCTTTGAGGTGACACTTGACATGGCAACATACATTTGACTCTGCACAAAAACAGTTTTTGAAAAATATATGCCACTTGATGCAGATATTGTCTTTGGCTTTTGTTTATTATCATGGCAAATGGAACAACGGTTGAGAATTGCTCGTGTCGAAATTTGCAAGGAATTGTGCCATCTGATGGGACCAATGATAATCACGGAATCAATTTTTTGTACCAATACTTTTGTCGGATTTAACATTCGCCTGTAAAACACATTTATTCCACCAAGTAATAATAGGAACACCAAATTTTTACTCCCACTAATGTATGGTTCCATATCCATGATGCACAATGGTGTTCAAAAACTCTTGATTATGCACTTCACCAGATCCCACACTAGTGTTGCCTTCAAGCAAGTATGTGCTGTCAAAACTCAAATATGTCTTCATTTCTCCAGGAACCAATAAAATTATATAATTATTGATACTCTCAATAATTATTGATATTCCCCTATAACATCATATAATTATTTGATGGTGTTAAAATAGCTCGTTGCTGAAAATATGACGGATCATCAATATTCTCCATAAATGTCGGAAAAGTGCTAGCAACAATTGAATCAATAGGATCACCCGAAGTGGTAATAAGCATATCATCATGTATATATGAATGAATACCTCTTCATCTCTAACATTCTAAATATTTACATCTCCTATTTTGAGGACCAAATTTGAGAAACTTTTAAATTCATCAAAATTACTCTGCAGCCTCATATAATTTAAAAGTTTGGGTGGACAACTAAATTACTCGTTGAATAACTTGAACGGGACAACTAAATTACTCTTTGAATATCTTGAGCGAGATTAGTGCATGTTCGGTAGGCATAAGTCCTTACCTTATGGCTTATGTACTATTTAAAAAGTCTCTACAAGTTTATAGTTGTATGTTTGACACAACAATTTATAAGACTTTTTTAATAAATTAAAGATCATTTTTGAGATGTTAAATTGAGTAGCATCTAGGAGAAGTATGTAAGGATGACACTCCATTCTCGAGACCCCCAAAATCGACTGGGCAATAATTTGGGAGACTGAAGTTGAACTTTGATCACACTCTGATGGAAAGAAAGTGGGGTTCCATCACAAATTATTGCTTGGACTTTTTTTTATAGAAAAGTCTTTAGTTTTTATTACTAGTTAGTCTCAACACTTTGTATACCAAACTGAACTAATTCAAACAGACTATTTTTTATCAAACAGTTATCACCTTTTTTTAAATATTTTCAGTCACTTAATGCTCACAGTTACTAAATTTTTATAAAAGTATCTTTATTGCTAGTTGTGCCAAACATGCTCCAAATTTTATTCCATACACTTAAGACTATTGACTACTCCGTATATTTTTCATTCCTTTGATTAGATTGCATGATAAGAGTGAAATGATTAATTAATAACTAATGTAGTTCTTATTCTAAATGTATTGAAATTCTCTTTCAACGTGTGTGGTATCCATATATGATATGAGTGAAATACTCTTTCAATAAATTAACGGCAAATCTATAAAAACCTCCAAAATATCTTATAATATGAGATTACATTCATTACTCTTTCATGAGCGGGATGCAAATTATATTGGAATAATTGACAGGAATAATCCCAATTATGAGTGGTCTGTTTGAAATAATCCAAAGTGTCAATTATCTCAAAATAATCCCAAATATTGAAAAATCTTCTCAAAATACTCTAGTGACTTATGATTATCCGTAAACAAGTTATAATATTTATGAGTAAGTTGATTATTTTGAGAAGATTATTCAATAGTTGGTATTATTTTGAGATAATTGATACTTTGAATTATTTCAAACAGCTCATTAATAGTTGAGATTATTCTTGTCCATTTTTCGAATTATATTCTTGCATTTCATATTAATTCATTTATGTTCCTTTCCATTCCCAACATAAACATTCTTTATTGAGTATTATTCAATCAATCAATAGTAGTTCAATACATGCATAAGATGGAAATAAATGCTCCATCCTAAATTACTTTCCATCTACACTCTTGGGCGGGATGCAGATTCTAGCATTTTATATTTATTTCACATGAACTAGTATTTCACTGTGTGTTGCATATTATTTTTACCACACAATATGTGGTATACACACATGAAAGTAACCATAAATAATAAGGCTAAAGGGTCAAATAGGCCCATGTACCGGTCGTGTAAGATCAATTCAGTCAGTGAACTTAAAAAAGTTCAATTCACACCCCGAACTAACAAAAATGGTTCAAATTTCTTTTTTTACAGGTAAACAACTAGTCATTTTTTAATTGTTTCTGTTTTTTATTTTCGATTTATTGTAATTTTGACACATTTTAATAGTTTAGGGGTGCAAATTGGACCTTTTTTACCGGCCATTAACATTAAAAATGAAGTTTGAACCCTTTTGTGGCAGTTCGGGGTGTGAATTGGACCTTTTTTTAGTTCAGGGACTGAATTGAGCTTACAAAACCGGTACATGGACCTATTTGACCATTTAACCTAAATAATAATAATTAAATAATACTCTGTAACAAACATTAGAAGTTAAATAAGAACACACTTTATAATTTAGTGAAGACTTATTAGTAGAAGGTAGTTTTTGTAATTTTTTCTAATCTCTCTCATCGTCGCATATCATGAAATTCAAATCTAATGGACTTGTCACCATCAAAATGCAACCTACGTACATTTGTGCATGCGTAAAAGTTGGACGTCACATAAAACACTCACAATTTCCAACAATTTCCTTTTACTCGCGTTCATTGTAATTCCATAACTGACAGACAATGGGAACTGCTTACTCATAAATTATTACAATCATAATAGGACTTTGAATTATAATTTCAGCTATAAAAAGAATAAATTAATTGAGGAAGTAATTACTCCACGTATGATATCTTGTTCTATAATGTGAAATGCCTAGAATTTAAGATATGCACTAAGCAAAACTTTGGATGCTTTACTTTGAATAGAAACCTAAGGGTCTGTTTATTAACAAAGATATTTTTCATGTTTTCCAGAAAACTGGAAAACTGGAAAACAGAAAACAGAAAACGTGTTTACCAAGGAAATTCCTGGAAAACTGGAGAAAGGAAAAAAGAAAAACACGTTTACCAAATCGTTTTCCAAAACGAAAAAAATTAGACATGTCTCTCTTTTCCTTAATGATTTGGAGAAGTGACTTTTACTAGTTTTCCAAATTTGAAAAACGCAGATGCTACAGTGTCGCTGCAATAAATTTGCATACTTACACCTAGTGGTGGGTCCGGTACCGCTACGAAGTCGATTCCATTCCGGTACATCCATCCTCGTACCTTACCCCTTACCCCTACCCTACCCACCCAACCCAACCCCGCATACCCATTTTCCCTATAATGACCCTACCCCACCCCCTACCACATGCCCCTACCTCGGCCCCACCCCGATCCACCCTACCCTAACTGCCACCCTCCTACCACCTCGACCCCACCCAGACCCACCCTACCCCCACCCCACCCCTACCTTACCCCTTACCACATTCCCCCTACCTCTGCCCCACCCCACCGCCATCCTACCCCCACCCTCATACCGCCATCCTACCCCCACCCTTCCGCCGTCCTACACCCACCGCCATCCTACCCCCCACCCCTACCTCTGCCCCACCCGGATCCCTGGCCCACCCTACCGCCATCCTATCCCAACTCCCTACCCTACCCCTACCTTACCCCAACCCCAACCCTACCCACTACTCCCACCCTTACCGCCATCCTACCCCCCCCTACCCCTACCCTACCTCGGTCCCACCCTGGTCCCGGCCCCACCCTACCGCCATCCTATCCCAACTCCTACCCCTACCTTACCCCAACCCTACCCCACCCTTATCCCTAACCACGACCCTAACCCCAGTACCCCCACCCACCCCCTACCCCTAGACCTTACCACCCACCCCGACCATACCCCTTACCCCACCCCCACCCGCTACCCCCGACACCTACATGTAAGTATGGGTGGGTATGAAGGGTTGTGAGGGAGTATTGGTAGAGTGTAAGATCGTGATAAGGGTAGGGGTAAGGGTCAAGGGTGTGGAATTGGAGAACTGGGTGAAAAAATTGATGAACATATTTTCAGATTTGAAAATGGAAAACTAAAAAATAGAAATAGAAAAACTGAAAAATAAAAACAGAAAATCGGAGAACAAAAAACAGAAGTAGAAAACCGGAAAATATCTCTGTTAGTAAACAGGCCCTAACTTTCTAATGCAAGATAACCTTCCGTAATTATCAATGCATCTAAAACCGATCAGAAACTGCAACTCCTCGAGAAAATCACCTAAACCTTTCAAAGAAAAATCACCCGTCAAAGATGCCTCATTAACGAATCTATACATATAATC